GGGAGATGCAGTTGTTTTTGGAGTGGTGAAAATGTGATCTGATTTATTTTTACTCAAATGGTATATATTCTTACTTTTTATTTTATTATTGACATATATCTCACAGTTTAATTTTACTTTTGTCCCATCTCTATCTCTTTTGTGGGGCAGAACCTAGAATTTTCAGAGAAGATTTTTTAAATAGGTGAATTATTCCCATGACATTGATTTATATGGCTGTTATAGTTGGACTTTGTTTTATTATTTTATAATTGTCTACATTTTATACACATGATCTTTCACTATTGGTTTACTACTGTGAATAACACTGAAGTTCGTAGTAATATCTTTTTCATCTACCTACATCTCAGCAATCGAACTTAAGCATCTCTTTTCCGAGTTAAAAAAAAATCGGGCAATCATAAACTGAAACTATTTTTTACATACTCTACCCATTCTGTCCCCACTTTAAAAATAGTGCTGTACCTACAATTTCAGAGCACATGGCCCTGGGAGCCTACACTTTTTTCCTTCTAGCCATCACTTCCACTCAGTTCCTCAGGCAGATATATATTTAACGCTTGCCACCAGGCCCTCTGTCAATGTCTCACCAGTCATTTTCATTCTCTGGTAGTGTGCTCAGCAAAGGCTCCTGGGAACAATATTTCCTGAGTACTTGCTTGTTGATAGCAGTTTGTCTGTAGTCTTTATACTTGAAAGTAAGTTTGGCTGGGTTTATAATATATGGCTCATATTTTCTTTCCTTGAGTATCTTAAATATGTCACTCCATTGTCTCCTGACATAAAGCATTGCTGTCAAAAAGTCTGATGACAATCGGATTTTCTACTTTAAGTAACTTGGGCCTTTTGCCTTAGAGCCAAAAAAATATTGTTTAGAATGTTTCAGTATTGGTCATTAGCGGTCATTTTTCTCAAGTACATGGTGTTCCTTTGCAGTCATTATGTGGTTTTGAATTTTTTCTTTGCTTCTAATATTAGGAAAGTTGATTTAAAAAGCTATTTGTATGAATTTTATACTACTGCTTTGGAATTCTTTGTGAACATGATATATGATACATGATATGATATAATATGATAGTTGGTCTTTGCCTAACTTCAATTTTTGCCACTTTCTCTTAAATCTTATCTCTTTTCTCATTTGTTTTGATGTTTAGAATTTCACTCCTTTTTTACCCTTATCTCATAAGGCATCATCTATTGTATCAATTTACTCTTGCGATCTTTCCACTTTAATCCTTATTTCTGAAATAATTTTTGTTTCTAATTTACTTTATGTTTTATGATGTGATTTACTTGCACTTTTCTATTATTGTATTAATTTCTTTTAGTTCATTTTGAAATTTTAGTTTACAGTTACAACCTGTTCTGTGAGTGTGCTTTTATGATTTGTTTTCATTATCATATAGTAGATTGCCAATAAATATTTCATTCTCCATATTCTCACTTCTCTTTAGTAATCAATTTTTATGGGAATTAATTCTTCTCTGTTGTCAGTTCTTACATGAAATTAATTTTCTTGAGCTATTGGAAGACGAAGTTGGTCAAAACAGATTTTCTCATTTCAAGGCATTAAAGCATTCCCTTCTGTTGTGTGTTTAATAAAACCTTTTTACTTTCTGAGGTATCCTTGCTTTTCTCTCACTTTTCTCTTCCATGTATTTTGCCCTATTGTTGCTCCTCTGCCTAATTTGGATTGTTTCCTGCCAATACTCATCCATTAGAAGTTCATCCTAGAATGAAGTTTAGCTAGATCTTTGTGAGAATTCACTGGGGTCAGACTATTCTGGGCCCAGTGAACATTTCTGAGGATTGCTGAACTGCAGTGCATGTGGCAGTGCACAGAAAAGCAGAAGAAAATGGTTCTACACTCAAGTCCTTCTGCCTGGTTCCCATTGAGAACCTAGCTCTTTTTCTTCTAGGGACATTGGAAAAACTATTGAACTCTGTCTCTTCCCTTGCAAAATCTAGTGCCACGAGATCTCGAAGTAATGGTGCACTGTCCTTGCTTGTTCATAACTTAAGACTTGGAAAATATCTTGACAAGTAAGGTTCTAGTTTTGCTTATTTTTTGGTATTGTTTTTAGATAGATGCTGTCAATAAGATTCAGTTTTAATACTCTGGTTCTCTTTGTTAATGGGAGATAAAAGCTATCTCATCAGTGTCATCTTCCCAAAATTTGCTGTATTGCCTTCTGGAGTGATCTTTAGAAGACTCACTTACAGTGACAGCCAACATATGCAATTGCTACATCTCCATGAATTATCACTGCATGTGTGTTAAAGGTCTCTGCCTCATTTGTTGCAGACTCTGTCACATGACCTCTATAAACCTCTATAAACATGCACAAATAATGTTTCTTGAGGTTATTTTAGACAAATATGTCTTACTAAAGCCCTATTTTATTGTTGAAAATAAACTATTAAGAGGATTTGTGTAATGGCAAAAATATAAATAGACTTCTTCTTTTGGAGGTCTATGATTTAGAGAAAATAGAATCACCTGTATGCAGTGTAGTCATTGTAAAGAATGGAAGTCTTAAGACAGAAGTCAAAATATACAGAGAAACAAAATAATATCAGTTTGTATTTTTCACATCAAGACACACACCAAGTCACACATCTGCCTACCAAAGGATTGTTGAGAAATAGGGAGTTTACTGAACATGGACAGAAAGAGACTATGACGTCACCACATACCTCACCTCACAAGGAAACTTCCTCAACCATCCCTCAATCTGCACCCTTTCCTCAGTTATAGAACAGTTCTCACATCAGCCCTCACCATCAATGCCACCATCTTTGTTTTTAGTCTCTCTCCCATAGCCCTTCTGACTCCCTCACCCCTTTTCAGATATGTTTTCTCTGTTTTCCCATCCCTTCCTCATGGGAATGTATGTAGCTGTCTCTCAGCCCAGCTCTCCTGTTTTGCATCACTACCCATAGTGATTAATTTTATGTGTCAACTTGACTTGGCCAAGGAATATGAAGACAGCAAATTAAACATTATTTCTCGGATTGTCTATGAGACTTTTCCCAGAAAATATTAACATTTGAGTGAGTGGGCTGCTGATGAGTAGGTGGCCTTTCCCAGTGTGAGTAGGCATTATCCACTCCAAAGAGGACCTGCCTGACCACCTGAGATGAAGTGTGGATTTCATCCTGTCTTTGTGCTCCTTCCTGGTCTCGGGCTTTCTAACCTGCTCTGCAATCTAAAGCATCAGGTCTATGGCTCTCAGGGCTTCAAACATCACAGCTTTCCTAGGTATCCTGTTGTAGATGACAGATAGTGGGACTTCTTAGACTCCATAATTGTGCGAGTTAATACCTTATAATAAATCTTCTTGTAGAGGTACAGATACATCCTACTTTTTCTAATCCTCTAGAGAACTCTGAGTAATATACTGTTCACATTTCTAATCAGCCAATTAAATGTTCTTGCCCAGAATCCGTTCCCTTATAAAAGAAAAGAGGAAGAGAAGATTGTAAATAGCACACAGAGCTATTCTCAACTCAGAGTCCACAGGATTTTTATTTTTGTGGATCAGATTTCGTACAAGTAAGAGTTTGCTTCAAGATACTTGCTAACCCTTCCTCATTAGTCAGTCAGAACAAGTGTTAAAATACATCCTTTGATTGCTATCAATGTAGTTGGATTTTTGCTGAACTGAAGGCAGGGAATAAAACATACTGTTAATTGCTGTCATTGCAACTTTTATATTGTAACCAGATGGGCATGGAAACAAAGGGTGCCAGGAGGCACAAACAATCAGGAATCAGAGTACCCTGATTTAGAACTATAATCCTGAGGTTAGATCCACTTTATTGGTCTAAAGAACAAAAGCAAACATGCCATAATTAATAATCAGAAGAGATATTTTGTGTGTGTGTATGTGCACACGCATGTGTATGTTAGAGAGAGAGAGAGATAGAGCAAGAAAACACATTTGCTAATGGGTGTGTGACAGTGAGCAGCTGATAAATTTACGCAGGTATTTCTGGCCCCTATAACAAAGCATTGTATAGAGAAGTGATGGAAGTCAATACTTCAGTGTGAGAAAGAATGGCCTGATCCTGGAAGGAAAATGAACATTTTTTGCATCATCTAACAGCTGCTGGATTGATTTCTCATGTTCCCTTATAATTTTGAAGCAATTTTTCTTTTCCTGGTTACTAATTGCAATCTTATCTTCTATATCTGAAATTCTGTCCTCACATTGGCTCATTCTGCTGTGTAGACTTTCAGTGGAGTTTTTCATGTCCTGGAAATCTATTTGCATCTGTTTTATGGATTCCACTTGTTTCTTATGTTGGGATTCCATCATGTTCCTCAACTCCTATCTAGATTTATTAATCATGTCTTGCACTAGGAGCACAATTTCTCCTGTTATCTGAGAAATTATTTCTGATTTCATTTTTTCCAGATCCCCTTTTGTTGCCAGTTCAGTGGGTCCAGGTTGAGTATCAGCATGTTCCATCTCATTTCCTTTTGGGGTTGCTGTAGGTGATCTGGAAGTCTGGTTTTGAGACTTATTTACGTGTTTTCTCATTTGGACTGGGGAGGGGGGTTGTTAGCGCCTGCATGGATTACCTCCTCTGAGCTAGGTGAAGTGGGACAGGGGCCAGGAGCAGCAGTAGGGATGGTGGCCCAAAAGCCCTTTCCTGTGGGCTGGGAGCAGCCGAGGGGATGGTGGCCAGGAAACCCCTTCCTCTGGACCAGGAGCAGTGGGATGGTGGCTCAGAAGCCCCTCCCTCTGGGCCAGGAGTGGTGGGAGGGATGGTGGGCCGGAAGCCCCTTCCTCTGGGCCAGGAGCAGCGGGACAGAAGTTGGCCCAAAATCCCTTTCCTCTGGGCTGGGAGCAGTGGGAGGGATGGTGACTGGGAAGCCCCTTCCTCTGGACCAGGAGCAGTGGGACAACGGCTCAGAAGTCCCTACCTCTGGGCCAGGAACAGTGGGACTCAGTACCTTGGTCTGGTGGTCTGGTGTCCTCTGCGTCTTTGTAGTGTGGAATCAGGTGGCTGCCTGTCTGCAGCGGGGTGATTCGGTGTCTTCTGCACGACTCAGGACCTCGGTAGGGCGTGCACAGACCTGCCTGTCTGCAGCGGGCTAATTCGGCCTGTGTTCCGCGCGACTGGGGACCTTGGTAGGGTGTAGGCAGACCTGCCTGTCTGCAGAAGGGTGGTTCGGTGTCTTCCGAGTGACTCAGGACCTCGGTAGGGCATGCTGGAAAATGAACATTTATAAAGACACATTCAACTATGTTTTAATTACTTCCTCTCAACAATTCATTATTAGCCTCTTTGTGAAGATGACTAAAATGAGGCTCAGAGAAATGAGATGATCTGCCCAAAGTTATACAACTAAAAAAACTTCCTTGACTCAATCTCATGGTCTATCCACATCCCAGAAGTGTTTCCAGGGTCCTCCCTATCCATCAACAGCTCCAAATGTCAATAGAGAGCCAGGCTCAGAGTGCAAAGGGAGCCAACATTGATGGCAGCTCCCCCTGCACATCTCTCCCTAACCAGCAAGTGCTCCACCACGCTGCACCCTTCAGAGTCCACAGTTCCAAGGTTAACCATACTAGCTCAGCCCATCCATTTGGAAGAAGCAAGCAAGAGGCCTGCAGGCGCTTTCTCCCTAGCCAGCCTCTGCAGCCTAATCTGCTCTGTCCTAATGCTGGGATGGAGCCCTGCCCCCTGCCCCGGCCAGGCTTGCCACTGAGGAGAGCAGCACAGCTGGAAAAATAGATAGGTCTTTCTAACCCTTTCATGCGTGTGCCGTGGGGCCAGGTAGCTCTATAAATATGGTAATGGCTTCTCAAGCATGCCCAGACTGGAAATGAGATGGAGAGGCTAGAGAAAGGCTGTTCCCACCGATAACCACTGTGGCAGCTTTGCCAGAGGAGAGAGTGACTCTGAGCTTCAGGTCAAATTAACTCTCCCCTCACCCTTGAGTAGATCCCCTCTCCTCCTCCTCCTTCCTACCATATTAATCGCCCGTACCCACCTGTTCCCTGATTACACTGATGACATCCAAGGAGGGAAGGCGGCAAGCAGCAGCTCATGTTTAGTCTATTACCAAGAGGCCCAGACTTGTGATAAAAAAAAAATACACCAGCAACAACATAGCTACATTGATGTGTACAATAGAGAACCAGCTTGACACTTCACTGCCGAGGTCCTACGGAGAAAATGACAGCTACAATAAAAAGCCATGCACCTGCTCGGCCTAAACAAACAGCTCCTTGCTCCAGAATGCTCTATCTGTAACCAGCTTTTCTCCAGCTTTCCTTACCTAAGGGTTGGACAGCCCCCAGCACCCCCAAACGCCATGCAAATACAATCTGTGGAAAACGGGAACCAGGATTCTAGAGAGACTGTAGACAAAGTCTTCACACTGGTCTAAACCTCAGTCTCCTTTTTCCTGTCAGATGAAGTGAGAATGCCTTACTTTCGGAGGTTACATAACCATTTTCAACTTTTAGTTGATCCCTCTCATCCCTCAAACTCTCTGCTTCTTGCTAGCATGACCATTTTCTCTCTCAGGTAACAGCTTGTCAGAAAAATGCTTTTTGTTTGGTTGTTTTTGCAGTACTTGGCCTTCCCACTGAGGTACCCACCCAGCCCTTTTAATTCTTTATTTTGAGACAGAGTGTCTCTAAGTAGCTCAGTGGGCCAGTCTGGTCTCAAATTGTGATCCTCCTGACTCTACCTCCCAGGGTACTGAAATTACAGGTGTGTACCAGTATGCCTGGCTCAGAATAATTCTTTTATATGTATAAACTACATCCCAAACAGAGTTTTAATGGGTAAAATCATGACTCTGATACAAATATAATAGTATGCTAATGGAATAATCATTTAACTCATTAATAAGTGATGAAATTGGTAAGGTATTATACACCAGGTCAAAGGGGAATTTAAGAAGTAAAAACATGTAGGGACTCAGCAGTGTGGAAGTGAACGTACTAACATATGCAAGCCTTGCTTCTAAATGGGAAGTCAGGAAATGAGGAGGTGGAGGAAATTAAGAGTATCTCTAATGGAAAAATTTCACCTCTATGGACTGATATTGTCTGCATTCCTCTCAGTTTTCCTCAACACTCAGAGCTGTTTCATAGCTCAAAGGCAGTGAAAAGTGATGATCATATAGAATCACGTAGCAAGAGTCCACTAGAAGTTGTTTAGAATTCCTTCCGAATCTAGTATTCATCTTTTTAGCCATTTCAAAGTTTTCTATTTTTTTAATAATTTTTCCTGATAAAACACATGGATAAAAAAAGAGAAAACTAATTATATGAGAACACACTTATTAAAATAACTTAAAATTTTATAGTATAGGATTTGCCTCCATTATTAACAAATTAATTAACATGATATTTCAACAGTGAATGTTTCGAAGGAATTATATAGAACAAAAATATTTCAGAATGTCTGTAGTGACTATAATGTGAGATAAAAATATCTGTCATTTCTGTGACAACTCACAGTTATTGCTCAAAGCAGTATAATTTGTTACTTACATTCATAGTGGAAAGAAGTACATTTCATATAGAAACTGGTAAAAATAAAGGAGCATTTTCCCCCCATTTAAATTCCTGGATAGGGCTGGGGATTTAGCTCAGAGGTTCCTCCACCTGCCTTGCAAGTGCAAGGTCCAGAGTTCAATCCCAGGTACCAAATAAATAAATAAAATTCCTGGATATTCACAGCCTAAACGAATTCATATCATGAACCTCAGAGTTTGATAAAGAATTCTTGCTAAATTCTAATGTTAAGATTAGAAAAAATATTAAAACCAATGACTTGATCTAAAGGAGGAAGAAAGATGAGAAGTGAAGCAAAGAGAGCAAGTTACATATTACTGAGGAATGGGTCCCTGGCTCTTTCATGCCCAACAGTAACCAAGAAATTAGAGAGCCCAGCATAGGTTTAAGGATCAGAAAACAGATGGTAAGCATGTTCCTATTTCATGAGTAGAAAGGCAGAAGTTTACAAGACCCTGGAGTCTGGGGCAGGAAGACCAAGACCATTTCGAGCTACCAAAAATCAAAACTGTTTTTTGGTGGATCATACTAATGAGGTATAAAGAGACGACCAAGTCAGAGAGGTCTGTGGTTAAAAGAAATGGGAGATTCCACAGTGACCTGGTAAGTTTGCACTATGTAGTAGACCTCTGGCTTAAAATAGAAATTGCATCAAATTATAAGAAGGAAAAGATGTTTTACATCTTGCACCCTCACGTTTGTGGAACAAATATTTTTACTCAAATCTAAATCTTCTTCCTCATCTCACCTCCACTTCACTAATCAAAAGTCCTTTCTCTGGGATTCAAGGCCCTTCAGGTTCTGGCTCAGCGCAGTCTCCTAGTCTCTCTGCTCACCCCTTTTCCCTGCATGCCCCATCAAGCCCACTGTTTCACAAGCCACTTGGTTCTCCGACACTTCCATGGTTTGAAATGCAGCATCCTCTCAGCCTCCAGTGACACCCCAACTTATTATCAACACTTTCAACATTTCCGTGAAGATTTCATTTTCCTTGAGAAATACCATTTTCTCTGACTCAGAATGCTTTTTCCACCCTCCTCCTCCTCCTCCAATCTATTGAATCCCTATTTATCCTTCATGACCTCACTCCTCCAGCCTAACATAGGTTTAGGATCTGAAAACTAATAGCCTGCTCCTATGGCTTAGATGAAAAGGTAGAAAACTTCTTTTGTGAAACTGTCCAAGGCCTCTCCCCTTGAGGTATTTCTCCCAACTCTGGACCCTAAAATAAACATAATCCTCCACACCTATAGGCTCCACATCTGTGGATTCAATCAACATGGATCAAAACTACTTTTTGAAAAAAACTGTACCTATTCTGAATGAGTGAGGATTTTTCTTATCATTCCCCAACCAATATAGTATAACAACTATTTACATACCTCATATTAGGTATTATAAACAACCTACAGGAGATTTAAAGTATAGGGAGGATTACATAGGTTATAGGTAAATATGATGTCATTTGATGTGATGAGCTTGCATGCTTAAGAATTTTGGTTTCCTGAAGGGTCATTTACCGTGAATGAGGAAGAAGGGTGGAACCAAAGAGGAAGAGGAGGAGCACGTGGAGGAGAAGAGAAATAATCATTTATATTATACTTACTCTGCACCAGGCATTGCATCAAGTAGCAACATGATCAGGCTTCAGAACTATTAATCAACAGAGCTGGGATTCAAACTTAGGCTATGATTCGGAGGCCCCAAGCTCTTGATGGTGGCATGTTAGTGTCCCCTCTATATAGTACTTTTCCACTATATTCATCTATATATCTATTGCTCCACTATCTTAGTCACTTTCCTCATTGCTGGGACACAGTACTTAAACAAAGTTTACTTTGGCTTTCCAGTCCATACTTGGCTGGTTTCAAGGCAGGGCAGCATGACAGAGGTGCATGACAGAGGGGAGCTGTTCATGTCATTGCAATGGGGAAGCAGAGACAGTGAAGGAGTCAGAGAGGAAGGGAGATAGACCTTTCTAAGCCACACCCCCAGTGACCTGCCTCTTCTGACCAACTCCACATACCAATATTAATTTAGCTATTAACTCATCAGTGGGCTAATTCATTGATGATTATCATGCTCCATGATCCAATCACCTCCCAAGAGACTCACCAGTGATCACATGATGCTTTGGAAGCCATCTAGATGCAAACCATAACATCCTCTTAGCACTGAGAAGGGGAACAAGTGTCTTTTATTTTGTACACTTAGTATCTAATAGCATGCTTAATCACTCAGAGAACTTTTCAACAAAAGCATCATACAAGCATCCATGAATACCTTTTGAGGGATCAAGTTTTGTCTTAGCAGTTTGAGCAGCTCAGACATAGTCCCTGCCCTTCTGTAACATATAATGTAGCGATGATACAGACACTAAACAAAAAATATAACAAAAACGCTTATAATTACAAATTGCCGCAAGTTTTAATAAGAAAACATGGTGCTAAAAAAATTGAGAATGGCCTAATTTAGCAGGCTAAAGTGTCTGGGGCTAACCTCTCTGAGGAAGTTACACTGCAGTCAAGACCTAAAGGATAAACAAAAGCTGCTAAGCAAAAGGAGAGCGCAGAAATAGCATTACAAGCAGAAGAGGCAGACTATGTGAAGATCCTGAGCAAAGAAGCTGTTTGGCAGACTAGAGGAAGGGAAAGGCAGGTTCAACTCAAGGTGCATAAGAAAGCAATGAGGCTAAAGGAGTTGAAAACATCCAGACAATGCAGGCGCTGCATTCATTCATTCGTTCCAGAAATGTTTATTAGATGGTTACTAAGCACCCCGCCCCCAGTACCTGAGTTATAATGGCCTATCCAAACAGACACAGCTCCTGCCTCATGAGTGTGTGCGGTCTAGCGGAGAGACAAACAATGCACTAATAATCCCACAGATTAATAAATGATGACAAGTATATGTGAGATAGCCTGGAGACAGAAAAGGAGGTCAGGAGATGTGTTACAGATTAAATTGTGTCACCCTAAAAGTTATGTTGAAGTCCTAACTACCAGTTCTTGTGAATGTGACTAAATTCAGAAATAAGGTTTCTGTAGATGTTATAAAAGGGAGAATGAGGTCAATTAGACCCTATCTGACATACATCCTTATAAAAATAGAAGAGACACTACACAGGAGGGTAGAACTCCATGTACTGTGGAAACAGAGATTAAAGTGCTACATCTGCAAGCCAGAGAATGTCAAAGATCACCAGGAAGCTGCCATAATCTAGGAAGAGGTAAGGAAGGATTTGGCCCTACCTTGATTCTGGATTTCCAAATCTGCAAGAAATAAATTTGTGTTATTTTAAGTCACACAGTTTGTAGCATTTTGTTAATACAACTTTAACAAGCTAGTATAAAAGTTTTCCTGAAAGAAATGACATTTGAATAAATTCTGTATTTCCAACAGGAAACAGCAGGGATCTATTTGCCCAACAGATATTGGGATGTCCTGACCAGAGGACTTAAAATATTTTCTTTACCTTTTTCCAGTTTTTCAAAGTCTGGAGACTTCACAAAGACATCCTAAAGCCCAGCTTCTCTAAAAAGATATGCAACCAGGAGCTAAAGGTAAGTGGCAGCTGCCTCCTCCAAAGGCATACGTGTTCTCAGATTGTTCTACTTCCCAGCACTCTTACACCAGGCCCCTTACATTCCTCACATTTCCCGCCTGGCATCTGTGGCATCAGAAATGCATGAATAAGTTCTAAGATTTTAGGCGAAAAAGTTTAAACAGGAAGTCTCTGCAAATGTCCCCTGGAGCCTCAGTAAATGACATTGATTGTCACTCACCCTCCAGAGCCCTGGCCACTTGCCTGTGTCAGTAGCAGAGGAGGGGATGAAGCCGATCCCACTATCTTTAATTAAATCACCACTCCTCAGACATCCCCTTGGTCTGTAACTTATTACCATACCCTGGATCTCTTGCCCTTGCCGCCGAATTCCAATGTGATGGATCTTGAGTCCCCTATGTGTTCCACAACTTGCACTTTAAGTGGAAACGTTTACATTTTGATTGCCTAATATGTTTCTATCATTTTTCATCCACCAAGATGTCAGGACCCTGTACAGAACTTGATGAAGTAAACTAGTCTAGACTGCAGATCTTTCATCCACAAGACAAAGCTCAGGTCAAACTCAATATGTCCAAGAAACCTTCCTGGGTAGTATAATATGAACATTCCTACTCACCAGGGAAACTAAGTCAGAAAGATTTGGATATGAATTTCAGATTCACAATTTATTAGATGTCTAACCATGAGAAAATTATTTAGCCTCTCTGAGGTTTATTTGTAGGAAGGACATAAAATAGCCTATTGGTCAAGATTACCACAATGATTAAATGAGATAATCATATATAGAGTGCTTAACCAAAACTTAGCATGTAACAAGTACACTTTAAAGTTGGCTGTTGCCATTAATATAATTATTATTATTAGTTTTGTTGCTTTTTATTGTTGATATTACTATTATTATTAAAGTAATATTCTACTGTAATGCTCCAAATGGGATCTAAATGTCCAGTTGTATGAAGTGTAGGATCATAGTATGGAAAAGTTCAAGAAAAGACTATAGTAAGACTACTATGGAGAAGTGGGGAAATTACCCATCAAGTTCTATTTGAGTTAATTTCATCACGGTATGTGGTTTTTAGTGGGTTTCTCTGCAGGGCATTTACTTTGTAGAGAAGCTGGAACTGTTTGGCACTAATTTGAGTCAAAAGAAAAATCAAATATTACAAAAGGGCCCTCACTGGCCACAGGGCATTTGGAATAGCCAAGAGATACACAAAAGTTGTGATCAATGACTTGAACCAAAAATACTGGAGGATGAAACTGGCATAAACAAGACAACATGATAGACATCCTTCATTTGGAATGCCACCTTAGGCTGATGGTGATATAAACAGATAGGGCTTCCACATAATAATGATCAAGTTGACAGATACTCTCCCCCTAGGAATTTGCATAGCCTGTTTTTTGATTTAGTTGGAAAACAAGTAGAGATTTTTACCATTTCTTTTATGGTTATGATTTTCCACCAAAGGACTGCAATTCATCCATGTAAAAGAAGGAGTTGTGTTAGAATGTTGAATAGTCTTAAACATGAACAGATCAAATGACACAAGCTAGAGTCTTCTCTTTTACTTTATTAGGAACCATGTAATATTCCAAAGGAACAACTTGCTTCATGTCACTCCTCTGAAAGAGCAATGTCTAAATTCCTATGAAGGCTGCATGCTGCCCAGATATGGAGAAGACAAACGTATACTAATGGTAGACAGTAGCTAACAGAAGCTAAATTTTAAGTTTCCTATATAAGAAAAAAATCACTGCCACCCAAGGAATTGTCCCAGTCAACAACTTGGGCATCATGGTTGATTCATCTATTTTCTTCTTTTTATAAATTCCTTCCATTTACAAGGAGTAAATTTCAAGCTATTATTACTGAAACTCCTAAATGGTTCATGGCTACAAATTCTTTGTCATCACTTCTCCCACCCTGAGAAATGGACTCTAATTCCCCTTGAATCTAGGTCATCTTAATGGCTTGCCAACCAGACAAATGCAACCAAAATGGTACTCTGTAAATTTTGAGGCCGTCTTAAGAACCCTTCCTTGGAACACTTTCTCTCATGAATCCTTGAGAAGCTGCATAAACAACAACCCAGAACATGTCATCCTGCGAGAAATCCAAACTATGAGGAGAGGTCCTGGGGTATAAGGTGCTACTTGGAGATAGATAAAGACCATGAAGTGCTGAGGCACCAGGCTTAGGAGCAAACAAGGCATCTCAGAACAAGCTGGGCATGTGAATGAACAGGTCACCTCAGATGATGTCATGTGTATTCAAGATGCACTATCCAGTTATTCTTAAATCTATTACTCATAAAATTTCCATCAAAATTGGGTAGAGGGGGGTGAAAAAATAATTAAAATGAGTTACACAAGTGCACCCATTCCCCATGATGAATATAATCAAGATGTACTGCAAACATGGACTGATACAAATAAAAATTTTTAAAAATCAGGGCCAGGGATTTAGCTCAGTGGTTCTGCCACCTGCCTAGCAAGTGCAAGGTCCTGAGTTTGATCCCCAGTACCCCCCCCAAAAATTTAAAAATCAAATGATTGTTGCAAACCATTAAATTGTGACAAATTTTAAAATGCTGCAATAATTAATCTAAACAGAGAAGTTAACACACCTGATGAAAGTCACAAAGTAGAGTACAAATGAGCCTCAAATCCAAGCTGTATGATTCTAGGATCTGTGTTCTTAAGCATGGGCTCATACTGCATCCTTAAGTGGAGAATCTTTGTTATTAAGGTTAGGAACGTCAGATCACTCCAGACACCATGACATCAGGGACCAGAATGGGGCAGGGAGGAAGGAAAGGGGGGCCAAAGTCATCAAGAAGTTTCTGGTGTGATCAATACTTTTTCTAATTTCGTTATTAAAGGAAAAAAACCCTAAAAGCAGATGTCATTACCTCTGCCTTATTTTTAAAAGCATGTTGTTTCAGAATAACTTGCCACACTTTTGATCCAGGAAGTCACCAGGTTAAGTTTTAAACTCAGAGAGATTGGAGGAGACTTCATCTTTTTTGCAATGTTTCATAAATCTAAACAACAACGACGTTAACGCTTGTCCATTTTAGATGATGAGTAATAAGTGCTTCTTGCCTTTTTTCTGTATGTTTAAAAATTTCCAAAGTATAACAATTAAAAAAACCCTCCAAAGTCATCATGACTTTTGCCCTGGATCAATTGCTCACTGAACAATTTAGGGAACCGATTTCACAGATTTCAATGGTAGAATTCCCACTGGGAAAACATCTAGGCCCACAAGGCAAGCGTCAGCTGTAGGTAGGGCCTGAGCATATTAAGGTCAGGAGGGATTTATTCCACTACTACATCAGAAGACAAAAACTTTTAATTAAAAGACGGGAGAAAAAACCTCCCAGAGACTGAGCAGGGAGCCCACACTATCTGACAGTTTCAATTTTCACTTACAGCTTACTTTTGTGGATTGATATCTTTCCCTGTGCCTGCTGAAGAGAACCATTGACTTCCATAAATCACCTTCTAAAGTCACAGGCAATTGCTGTTTTAACCCCCGCCTTGACAGAAACCTTAGCAGCAGTGATAATAACAATTACTATTCATTGATCACTTGTGGCGTATCAGAATTTATGCAAAGTGCTTGCACCTACAATTCCACTTAACTCTGATAAAACCCTATAGGGTAGGGGCTATTAGTGTCCCTAATTTAAAAATAACTGAATTGAGTCTTGGAAAGTTAGCTTGAATCACTTAAAATCATAAGGCAAGTAAGTGACAGAGTGGAGATTAGAATCTCTGTTAACATCTGAACTCAAATGCTCATATTACAGAATAACCATCCTTGTTGGCTCAGATACAATGTCCATACTTTTTCTTTCTCACATTTTCTTAATCTTGAAGATAGCCAGTATTGTAAGTTATGTACATGGATATTATCTGTCCACTCCTCATTTCATAAAGACAGAAAGAGATTAACCCAGAAGAACCAGCCAGTCAAAAAACTACAATAACTGTTAACATTTACATCATGCTTACTGTGAACATCACACTGTCTGTACTACTTTAACTATATCATAATAATAAGCCTTATTAGTATCACTCCCATTTTAGAGATGATGAACTTGACACATAATTGGAATGGGTGCCTCAAAATGACACAACTATTAGATGAAAGCACAGAAATGTGACCCATTTTTCTGCCTCCTAGTCCATAGTTATTTCACTACTTTCACCATATCTTATACTGTATTTGCCCTTTCCATAAGAAAACAGAATCATGCTACCAGTCATGGGTTATTAAATTCAAGGTTGAAGATTTGATGTGGAAACGCTGGGATGTTTAGTTAATTAAAATAAGAGGATATTGGCATCAAGATTAAAGTGTAAGATTTAAGGAAATAATCACATTGAGGGATTGAACTTGCACCACTCTGACCAAGACAGTGGGTGCCTCTTAACCTTTTGCTCATAGGAAAGCTTACTTCCTTCAATGTATACCTGGCTTTGGTGCATACTACTGATGCTGTCATTAGAATTCCGGAAAATGTCCTGTAGGAGATGTGATGGGAGATAGCTTAAATACATCAGTTTTTAACATTTCTTAGCACCTAATGCATGCACAAGAACATGAGAGAATCAGAAAGGAGCCTTTCACTTGATCATTCAAAACTGAATAATTGATTGTCTCTAATTTCTCCCACATTACTGAGGCACAGAGAAGCCTGGTCCATTCTCTACATGTGAAAGGTGGAAAAGCTGCCTGTAGACTCACTCATAGATCTCTATATGTCAGATGTGAAGTGTGCAGGCAGATAACAAGGGCACAGAAGAGCCACCTACATCCCTGAGTCTGAAAAGACTTCAGAGAAGAGAGACAAACTGAGCTGGGGCCTGCATGATATCAGGATTCTTTGCTTGCAAAGAAAAAAAATCAACTCTAGCTAATTCAGGAAGATAGCATAAAACAAACCATCAAAAATTACTGAAAGGATTTGGTCTTGAAAAGGGGGAAATGAGCTGCTCTGT